GCTGCTTTCTGAGGGAGCTGGCAGGCCTGTACCATTAGCCTTAGGGGTTCAGAAGGGATGAGTCACTCACTGCCTAGGTGTGGGCATCAGGAGCATTTGGTAGCCTTCTGTGCTAGCCTTGTGCATCCTTCAAGACATCAGTTGTCATGAGAGCAGGATTCTTAGAGTCACTTCGAGTTGGAAAGATCAAGCTTAACTTTAGTATTTGATGTTTTTATGAATATAAATTTTTGTGCCTTAACCTTTATAGATACAAGTAAAATCACATGGCAAGACTTAACAGACAAGGTTTAGGTTTTGAGGTTTTTTTGCAGTGCTAGGGATTGAACCCAGGACTGTGTTCATGCCAGGCAGATGATCTACCACTGAGCTATACCTCCAGCCCTCTGAGGTTTTGAAATCAAGGTATGTTATGAGGGATGCAAAGAAACTATGTTATCCTGTGTTCAGCCATACATGCTGGTCCTGCAGAGGGATGCTCCTGGAGGTTTTGATGGCACCTGTGTATTGTCCCTGGATTGTTTGGTGACATACGCTGTCATATGTCACAGCAGTTTTCCATGTAGATTAGCTTACTGACTGACAGGTACTCTCATTAGGGATGGATGTATCTAGAACACTAAAAGTAAAGTAAGTAAATAGGGATAGCATACACTCCAGTATACCGTTGGTCTTCTGTCTGTGCCTCCGTTTTCCTGGGCACATGGGACATTCTAGGCCTGCTAACTGTACTGCAAATAGTCTGTGTCATGTGGGTTATTGAGCAGTGACTCTAACGTGCCCTCAGTGTGATATCTAGAGATATCTACAGACACTGCCATGTGTTCAGGGGAGCAGAATCTGCCCTATCGAATAAGGGCAAAACCTTTTGACTCTAGTACAGAAAATCACATGAATCCTTCACTCAGTGAGGATGTTAAGACCATAGTGCCCAAAGCACAGGAGATTAGACTACATAGCACATACTGTGCCCTCACTCTGGTCACACAGCCTTACTTCATTTCCTACCTTGCCTGCCTCTTCCTTACTTGTCAAGTGTCTATACAGAAACATCTTTCTGCTCCAAGTAGAGCTCACCATCTGTGCTCCTGCCTCCGTGCTGGTTTGAGGGTTCTCCAAACGCTTACTGCTTTTTTTAAACTCAAGAAATTGACTGTGAGCCTCTCTTCTCATTGAGCCTTTAAGAACAGGGTTGTGTACCCCACTGGTTTAGATTATGGCCATGTTTCTCCAGGGTCTGAAACTGAGCCTATTCCCACAGGAATTTTGCCCACAGCTCAGTGTTAGGCCTCTTTTCCAGGGAAGGCTGAGCTGGGCAGGGAGCCTACTGAGAGACTTGGCCTTGTTACCAGCTCTGCCCTCAGAGCAGTCCTCCTAGGTAACTTTACCCTTGGTCTTAGTGGCAGCTCAGTGCTGCCATGCAGAATGTCACATAGCTTCTTGGGCAGACACAGGATAGAGGATGGATGACTCAGGCCAACTCCACATGGGCTGGGGGGCAGGGCCTCAAGGAGCCTCCCTGTATCTGACTTCATGCTAACAAGGTACAACCTGGTTGTGCATCACATGCTTCCTTGTGTGGCAGGTGTGACTGATGTGCCCATCTCAGAGATGCCTATTTGCACACTGGAGCAGAATCCAGCAGTGTGCATGTAGAGATGGCTGAACTGGTTCTGATGTTTGTGTGGAAATGCAGGGAACCTGGAACAGCAACTTGGAAAAACAGTAGAGTTGAGAACTTCCATTACCTGGTTTTGAGACTCCTTGTAAGCTATAATAATCAAGGTCCCATTGGTTTTTACTGTTGAGTTGTGAGAATTCTTTATTTTTGATAGTAGTTTTTTGCAGATAGCAAACATGTCCTCTGACTTGTCTGTACAGCCCATCCAGAGAGTTATTTCACTTTATTTTTAAATATTTTATTTTTATTTTATATGTATAGTGTACTGATTGCATGTATGTAAATGTACCCATGTTGTACAATACCCATGGAGATCAGAAGAAGGCATTGGATCCCCTGGAACTGGAGTTACAGATGGTTGTTAGCTGCCATGTGGGTGCTGGGACCTCTGCAAGAGCAGCCAGTGCTCTTAACCACTGAGCCATCTCTCCAGGCCTGAGATTTCTCTTTTACTGTCAGCTGGGTTGGAATGAGAAACCCCAAAGGCCAATCCTGATGAACAATTTTGGGTGTCTGTGAAGGTTTCTTCAGAAAGAACTAACTAGGGATGGAAGATCCACCTAGAATGTGGCCCGCACCATCCCATGAACTTGGGCCCCAGACTGAATGAAAGGGGAAAAAAAGTATGAGTTTCAGAGGATTGTTAGCTACCATGTGGGTGCTGGGAACTGAACCCGCATCCTCTATAAGAGCAAGCTTTTACCGTCAAATCTGAGAATTCCGCCTAGACCAAGATCTTGTAGATATTTTCTCTTTTTTAAGGTGAATAGTTTTGCATACAAGCCCACTCTGTCATGTTGTGACCCATTGTTTTCTCTCTTCATACGTATATGTAATGAATTTTAGTTGTTTCCATGCACATTTTCCTTTTCTTCCCAACAAGTCCCTCTTATTTTCATGTCTTCTTTTTGTGTGTGATCCAGTGTTTAACTGGAATTGTTTGCAGTGGATAGGAGGTTATTTACTGGAGCATGGGCAACTTATTAGTGACTACACCACTGAAAAAAAATGACCCCTCCTTCCCCCAGCAACCGTTAACTGCCAGTAGATCCTCAGGGAAGAATGGGACCTCACAGGACATTCACCCATCTGTGATGAACTGTTGTTGGGCCTCATGTTGTGGAAGTTTCCTACAGATAACCACAACTACAATGAGTTCATGAGTGAAACAGCTATTATCATCTAAAAGACATCTTTTTGATGCACATCTCCCTATCCTCTGCCTCTTACATTCTTTCTGCCTCTTCTTCCATGATGTTCCCTGAGGCTGGGAGCAGGTGGTGGAGATGCCTGGTTTAGGTCTGAGCATTCCACTGTCACTTATTCTCCACATTTTGGCCAGTTCTGGGTTTCTGCATTAACTGCTGCCTGCTATAATAATAAGTTTCTCTGAATAAGACTGAGCACAGCACTACTCTATGGATATAAACATAAGTATTTATATTGCAGTTTGACATCATGATCATTTAGCAGAATAATAGTAGTAACTCCTCCCTTGCTCCCCTACCCCCAAGGACTGTGCCTATGGATTCTTGACTAGGTTTACAGAGCCAGGCATAAGTTCCCGCCTGTGCGGTGGGCCTCAAATCTAATTAGAAAGCAGTGATTACACACCTAAGTCATGCCACTACTGCACCAGAGGGTGCAGGCCTTTACTGGCAGGTTGTTACTGTAGCTGGAAGGATCCACAGCTGGGTCAGACTGCTGGCGACTTTTCTCCCTGCCAACAGCCTGCATAGCACCTTCTTGTACTCTAAAAGCTGGCCAGTCAGGAAGAAGTTTTTAACTCAGTTCCAGCTTGGTTTCTATATATTCTGTGACCAAAGTATGTAGATGTTTTCAGCAATAGGATTTATCAAGTTATGGTAGGCAACCAAGAGCAGTGACAATAGCACGTGTTGTTTTCAGGGCTTCTGGGGTCTCTGACCAAAAATTTGAAGGGAGATATCCCACACCTGATACTGGGGGTTTTGTTTAGTTATGATCTGTTTTGAGTCAGACTTTGTATAAAATGTGAGACTTGAGCTCAAAGTTCTTTTTTGTTTGACTTTTTCGTGCCTATTAGATCATGGCACTGGTACATGGATAGAAAAGTCTATCCTTCCTCCACTGGATTGCTGTAGAGCCTTGGGCTTATGCCTGGTTCATATGAGTCCCTCTCCCAGACCCCTGTGCATAGGGAGATAGGTCGTAGGGGCCAAGCACCCTGAGCCTATCCACAGAGGTAGGCATGGTGCTGTGCTTCTTGGCCCTTGGCCTTCTAGCTCTGGGAGGGTGTGGCAGAGAAGTGCCCTACTTTGTTCCTGTGATGCCATGCTATGGCCCAACTGCTCTCGTTCATCTCTTAGAGTGTTGTGAGGGCCAGCAGAATCTGTCAGGGTAGAGTACTCTGGCCTACAGTAGGACAGGTCAGGCCCCTTTGGGAGCTTCTGCTAGGGGTGGGCTAGACTTTGAGAAGCAGAGTGCTCTTGACTGTATAGAATAGGGCAGGGCAGTGCTGGTTTCTGGAAGGTGACTTTGGGTTAACTTAGAAAGCTCAGCAACAAACATGGGCCTAATAGACTCCTCACTGTGCCATGTTGGGAGAGTGAATCTGCTGGTTTTAAAGTCTTGAGATTACTCTGTAGTAATCTCTCTGAGGCAACAACCAGATGACCAGTGTTTGGGTCTAATAAGGAAAATAGCTTCTTTTTATATAAAAACTAGGAAGATGGGCACGGTGGTACATACCTATGATCCTAATACTTAGGAGGAGGATGGTGAGTTGAACCCAGCTTGGGGTACATAGTCAAACCCTGTTTCAAAGGAAAAACAAACAAACAAAATCTAGGAATATTAGAGTTCCCTCAGACAAATGTTAGCTAAATATGAACCTGCCTTGAGGGGGAGTCATCTGCAGGGGGAAAAAGAATTTATTTTGAAAGTATACCAACTTGTCGTTACAGTATTCATAGGTAAAGTTTTGATTTTGATGAACTTACCAGAAAAGTAAGAGGAGTACATATACATATTTACTGTCTTGAAACCATCCTTGTTTTCTCTTCTTCTGACATCCTCCACTCTGCTCTCTTACACAATAGCTAGTTGTCTTGTCTCATGTGAGAGACCTGCAGGTGAAGAGTCCCTTCATTTATAGTCACAAACATGAGACCCTAGTTGGTGAGGGACCCATGGCTAGAGCAGTGTAAGAGTCAGGTAGAGCTGGCAAGATTTGAGGTTAAGTTCTCACTTGGGTGCCCTTTCTCACACAATATGATACACTCGGCACACCAAAAGATCTTTAAATGTACTTTGTTGATGCTTCCCTGTGTTTTCACAGAACACTTCTGGTACGATTGGAAGGATGCAGCCACCCTGTTGTCATGAAGGGCCTGTGTGCCGAGTGTGGCCAAGACTTGACCCAGTGAGTACATGTGGGGAGTGAGGCTCGGGCCTTCTGGACTCTCAACTGGGTGGGCCTGTGGGCACTGGGGGTATGCAGGGCATGGTACAGGACCCTGCCACCTCTGCCCAGAGTTGAGCCTGACACTTTGGCCAACTTACCAAAGAGCTAATCCTTTTTGTTTTCATACCTTCATGTCCTGAAGCCCTAGATTGTCTTGAATGCTCTCCTCAAGTACTTCAGGAGAGTACGGAGAGCATACGCTGTCTTCACTGTGGGGACCACAAACCACTTGCTGTATCTGGAGCATCTGTCTCTGGAGGTGTTGGTGCTTTGACACTGCGCCTGCTTTTCCCGTGCTCTGTGTAGCTAGCTGACCACTGATGCTAAGTAATCTCCATTAAGTATTGGTGACTGTCAGTCTGTTTTATTTTGAGGGCCTTTTTTTTTTTTTTTTTTTTTTTTTTTTTTTTGTCTTTTTGAGACAGGGTCTCCCTGTAGCCCCAGCTGTCCTGGGACTCACTGTATAGATCAGGCTGGCCTTGAACTCACAGAGATCCACCTGTCTCTGCCTCCCGAGTGCTGGGATTAAAGGCGTGTTCCACCACGCCCAGCTTGAGGGCCTATTTTTAAAAAAAATATATTTTATTTATTATTTTTATATGTATGAGCTTATTGCCTGCATGTTTGTAAGTGCACCCATGTTGTGCATTGCCTGCAGAAGTCAGAAGAAGGCATCGGATCACCTTAAACTGGAGTTATACATGGTTGCTAGCCCCGATGTAGGTGCTGGGAATCAAACCCAGGTCTTCTGTAAGAACAGCCAGTGCTCTTAACCCCTGAGCCATCTCTCCAGCCCCTTGAGGGCCTATTTATGTTTCCATGTAACTGTAGTTGATTTTCATGGAGGATTTGCCCATGTTTATGACTGAGCATGTAAGTGTGGTTATGACTGAGAAATGTCTGACTACCAGTATGAACCAGAGGCTGAGTTTTAGACTGTGACAACATTTACATAGCTGCCTACACAAGAGAGTTGTGTGTTAGGATAGCAGTATTGGTTACCTACAGTGAAGGCAGGGCACTCACAGGTGTGTTTCCACGTGCAGTTAACCAAACATTTTTCCCGTGTTCGCAGGTTGCAGAGTAAGAATGGGAAGCAGCAGGTGCTATTGTCCACAGCAACCGTGTCCATGGTCCACAGTGTACCTGAGTTAATGGTGAGCTCCGAGGTGAGTAGAGGGTGGTGGTTCTGTGGGGGGACTGAGACATGCACCAGTAGTCACCCTTTTAGCAGCAACCTTCATCTGAGCTATTTGTGTGGTGTACTGCCTTCCTAGAGACTTGGAGGCTCCACTGGTTCCCATTTCCCTTGTTCTCTTTCATAAACAATTGTGGATGCTTTGAGGCCCCACAGCTCTCGGTTTGCAAGGTGACAACACACCTTGTACTGCCAACACAGCCACTGGAGTGGCCTGGATTCCCCTTAAGCCAAACTCCCTGAAAATGTTGTGGCAAACACCTAACATGAAGGCACTCTTGATGGTATTGGTTAGGAACATGTCTGTTCCCCTTGTTTTTCTTGATAAAATTGAAATTTATTTTGGATCCAAATACAAATACTTTGTTGTTTTTCTTTTTGACCTTAGCAAGCTGAAAAACTCGCAAGGGAAGATCAGCAACGACTGCATCGAAACAGGAAACTAGTCCTCATGGTTGATTTGGACCAGACCCTGATCCATACAACCGAGCAGCACTGTCCCCAGATGTCCAACAAAGTGAGTGATGTTGGCTGTTCTTATGACAACTCTCACAGCAGCCTTGGACCCCGTGATTCCATTCTAAAGTACATTATCTTGTTTTTAGGTGATTTCCTGTGATCACCTGGATGTGGGAAACAGACCAATCAGTTGTGGGTGTGATCTTACATATCTATTGTATCTGGGCTGGTCCAGGCAGCACTGAAAGTGCCCTCTTACTGTTAGCATTGAACTTTTGTGTGAGGTCCCACAGAGTGTAAGCATTCAGAGACTTGGAGGACAGTGATGGGGGAGCATAGGAGCACTGCTGGAGCCATGGTCTTAGGAAGGTATATTGATGTGAAATGCCTTGTAGCTGGATCTTCAGGGCAAGAGGATGGCTGGGTCTGTGCTCAAGAGAACCTGGGCTGAAGATGGAGTCACCAAGGGGGAGTTGAATTTTCCAGGGTGAGATGAGAAGGAGCCAGGTGCTGGACCCTTTTCTGGTACATGCCAGTTTTCTTGTAGCTCAACTGATTCCTGGGAATGGAACAAAGAAGTTGAGCTTTGAGAGTAAGAGGATTTTAGTACCTTTGTAGGCATGCAAGCTTTTAATAAGGATGACCTGGCTAGGGTCAGGTTACCATGTTTAAAAACATTGGCTGTTAGACAGATGACACAGAGACTATTATTTTAGATCTGAAACCTTGCAGATGTGACCAGGTCTAAGGACAGAAAGATATTAGAAGCCAACCATAGCCCAAAGTATGGTCCACCATAGAGCCAAGTTCCCTTGCCTGACTGAACCACTGTGGGTATAAATAGTGACATGGGAAATGTCTGGTGAAAACACCTTAGTGTGACAACTGTATAGATAGCTTTGTTAAGGTTAGCCTAATAAATAAACCAAGTGATCTTTAAGTTCCGGTGTCTTGGTCTGGAGGTTGAACATGAGTTTTTTTATGACTAGAATTCAGTTTCTGCGGTACAGCTTATATTTTTAGTTAGATTAGTTTTCTGCATATTGTGGGATCTTATAGAATCATAAACTATTTTCTTTGGTGTAATGAAAGTTCTTACTAAATATTTTCAGGATGTTATTCGTATCACCTGACATGTGTATTGAACAATCTGAAGGGCATAAAGACTGGAAACTTTGCACCTGTGCATCCCAATGTGCATGCGTTCCCCTGATGTTTTCTTTTAGTGTGCCTTTGGAGTTGTACATTTTAAGTTAGTTCAATAAGACATCTTAAAGTAATACTCACTTTCAGGGGATCCAGAAAGATTCAGTGTCTGCAGGTCTTTGTGGGGCGGTTTAGGCATAACCAGTCCTCAGCTAATAGCAGTGCTGTAGGATGCTTATACTTTACATCTAGGAGCCCCTTATGACCTGGGCCTGTAGCCTTTGACCTAGCTGTGTAGCCTTGGTCACCACTAAAAGCATAATTGCAGGCCTGGAGCCAACTTGCCACCTGAGCACTGGGTGGCAGCTTAGAGAAGGACTGCCGAATTCCTCCCCTTGGACATCCAGGCCTTACCATATGGAAGCTTATATGACAGATTTCGGAAAACTGTCCCTAGAATTTCTTTTCTCTGTGTCTTTTGTCAGAGCAGTTTCACCAATCATGGAGCCTTTAATTTAGAGCTAGCGAAATTTATCTAGGTCTAAGTAGGCTACCTTTTTAATTCTTGAAAATCAATGTTTTTGCTGAGAAAATGAATTTGTAAATAGAAGTAAAAGAATTGCAGTTTCTAAAGGAATGTGGGTTTATCTGCACACTGATCCTGGGAGTTATATTTCATATCCCGCCAAGATGCTCTAGAAAACTATTTCAGCACTCGGGTTGTATGTGAGTAAAGCTGTGTCTCAAAGCCAGCAGTTGCTTTACACCAATCAGGGGCCCAGCACCTTCCATGGGTATGTTCAGAACAGTGGCTGCAGCTCTGTAGTTTGACAGATAGGAGTATGTAAAGGAGCAAAGATATAGGTGATGTCACTCATCAGCAGGATGATAACACAGACCAGAGTTGCGGCATGAGGCCTGACACTTATCCCAGGAGCCTATCATGAGACTTAGCATGACTAGGTAGTCATTACAGCCGTCGTCGGAGGATATCCTAGTTATGGTTATCCCAGGCACTTATGGGGTAGTTGTAGTTTCAGAGATGACCATCCTAAGTAGTTACAGGTGGTTATAGGTAGTTTATAGTTTACGAAGTAGTTATAGGTAGTGTTATAGGCAATTATTATAAGGGATAGTTACAGGCTGTTGTCATTATAGTGGCTAGTCAGCATAGTTTTCGAGGTAATTAGTGGCATCTATCATCATAGATCGTCCCATACCTGACCTGTGGAGTCTTATGGGTCTCAAGTCCCCTGCGCTTTCCCCCACACCCGGTCTGACAGTACCCTTGTACATCTCCAGATCCTTTCAGGGCCCATAGCTCAGGTGCTGCCTGGGCAGCTCTCCTTGCCATCTCTTCTCACTCCTGCCTGTTCTTCACAGGGCATCTTTCACTTCCAGCTGGGCCGGGGTGAGCCAATGCTCCATACCCGCCTGCGACCTCACTGCAAAGACTTCTTGGAGAAGATTGCAAAGCTGTATGAGCTGCATGTTTTCACTTTCGGCAGCCGGCTGTATGCACACACTATCGCAGGTCAGTCAAACACAGTATGTGGTCCTTCCACAGGAGTGTAGACAGCAGACTATTTCTTGTTTTCAAGGACATTTTCTTCAAAACAAGTAATAGTGCAGAAGCTCAGTCTTAGGATTGACAGTTGCAGTCACCAGATAGTGACTTAGGATTGAAGTCACCAGATAAGAAATTCTGCTCCCTGGCCCAGCTGAGAAGTTGACTGGGACCATAGAAAGAAAAGTTTATGTGGAAGTGTTTTCAAAAAGTTTTTTCAACTGTTTAAAAATGACTTCAGAGCTCTGTTGTTCAGGTACCTGTGTTTACACCAAATGCTCTAACTGCCAAAGTGAGTAAGCAACCTGAAGCCCGAGTTTTTGACCTTTGTGTATCTTGACTGGACATGAGCTCTTAACACTGGCCATTACTTCCAACTGCTCTTAGTGTCCAGTGGCCACCAGGTGGCAGTACTGGCTGAGGAATGGGTCTGGGTACAACCAGATGTGACATAACCTCTGAGCTATAATGCGTCACAGTTTCAGCGCCTCAGTGACAGGTTGAAGACAATGAATTCCAGCATGGTCATAGCACCTTGGTAGCAGTTGCAGAGCTTGTTCAATGGATTACTTTAAAATCCAAAGGTCTTAGGGCTGGGGAGTTGGCTCATTGAGGAAACTTTCCTATGTAAGCATGAGGACCTGCGTTGGGATCCCCAGCACCCAAGCAAAAACCAAGCATGGCAACACTCACTGACCAGCCAATTTAGCCGAAACTTCGAGATCCAGGTTCAGGAGACCCTGTTTAAAAAACAATAAAATAAAATCAAGGCAGAGAACAGTAGAGGAGGACACTCAGTAGGGCTTCTGGCCTCTACATGCATGCATGAATGAGTGTACCCACATGCTCACACACCATATAGATCACATACATGCAAAATTCAAAGGTCTTTCTGTCTTTGATGTTGGAGTTAGTCCAGAATCTCCTTTTGGTCTTTAGTGCCTTTGCAGCCTTTTTTTTTTTTTTAAATCTTTGTTTTTTAGTGTAACCTTAGGTTCACAGCAAAATTACAGAGCTTTCCCATATACACATACTCTGCCCCCACACACACCTTATATGCCCTGTATATACCCTGCCTTCCCACTGCCAGCACCTGCCCCCAGAATGATGCACTTATAATGATGCACTTATAATTAAACCTACACAGATACTGTATTAGTCATGAATATTTAAGCCATGTACTAAAGTTAATTCACTTTATGACTGAAATTCAGTGAGTTTTTTTTCTCCTCTAATATTGTGACTCCTGTATACCTGGAACATAGAATTTGAAGATTCATGTACTTGTAATAGGAAAGTAAGTCAACATTTCTCAAGACAGTAAATAAGATTTCCATGGTCTGAATGCAAATACTATCCCTTCATCACCAAGATGAAGACATTAGGAGGTGACCTTGGGGAGGTTATGAAGGTGACCTTAGAGAGCTACCTTGTCCTTCCACTCTGAAAGGACATAATGAGAAAGTACCATCAGCAGAATAGCCGCCACCCATCACTACGGCTACTGATACAGTGATCTTAGATTTACAACTTCCAGAACTATGAGGTATAGATTCCTGTTGGTTATAAATACCCAGTCTGCAGTATTTTGCTGTAGCAGCTCCAACAGCCAAGACTTCCTTGTATAAAAGTAGATCCACACTCAGGCTTGTGGCTTTCCCATTGAAACCTTGCATCTCTGGGTGGTGATTAATGACTCACTGTGTAATAATGACAGTGGTACCAGCTTTAGGCAGGTGACTAGGAGAGACATCAGCAGAGTCTGATGAACGCATTCCAGTTACATAAGCTCTTTGGCACTTAATTTTCTAAGTTAAAGGTGTCAGAAAAGTTAAAAATTAGAAAAATACCTGTCATTGTCATCATGTCCACATGTATTCAGCTTGCTTGCTTTGTTTGGTGGGGTTTTTTGTTTTGTTTTGGTTTTGGTTTTGTTTTTTTTTCATTATGTTATGTAGTTTGACTCAGTATACTACACATTCATACCCTGTTCTTCTCACATACGATTCTTTTATCACTAAGGATATTAACAAATCTCTCACATAACTGTGTAATTATTTCTTTTTGAACATTGCATTCATTTTGCTCTTTCATCATAAAAAAAAAGCATCCACTGAACTTAATTAAACCTGAGTAGATTTGTCTCCCTTTGGATTGGACCCTGTGAGTGAGCTCCTGAACTGATATTATTGTATGTAGGGCTTCCTTCCTGGAAAAACTGGCATGACTTACACGTGAATAGCCCCACCCCATGGGTCCACATCAGATGATATTAACCCAGTAGAGTACATAGCCACCTCCAACTGGAGGCTGAGCAATCCCTGAAGGCATCATTTTTTTTTTCTCCATCTTGGTTTTGTAAGTTTATGCAATGCAAATGTTTCTTATTTGGGGTTCTTTCAGATGTTATTCAGTTTGTAGTTATTCAGGACAGCTACTAGACATCTCTCTCTTAGCACTCTCTTCTGGTGACTCATCTGAGCACATAGACCATTAAGGACCAGTACAAGGGAGACTTAGAGACAGCTTCAGTACTGGATAAGAGGATGTTTGCTTAAGCAGCGTCACATCCGTGAGTTTCAATTGGGTCACACCCTCATTTGTCCCTCTGACACTCCATCCATGTAATCTGCATTAGATCCATATTAGCAAGGCCCCAGTGGTAAATGTGAAGAAGAATGTCAGGCTAGAAAGAGGAGGAGCTGTGGTGGTTGTTTGCTGCTTTGGTAGGGTGCCTGCACTGATGCTTCTGTGTGACAGTGCCACACCCCAGGAGCCTGCTGACAACCTGGGCTCCTGGGGTTGCCAAGAATCTTGCTGCATTGAGCCCCCCTGGACTTGCTGAGCACTATGCAGCCTCATTGGGTACCTATTCCATTTCCAGCTGTGGTTTTATGGTGGAATTCCAGTATCTAGCATGTCCAAAGCGTGTTGTACAAAATCAGACAGCAACATCCAATAAATAAGAATGTAGGTGTAAAATTCTCCCAGGAGCACTGCACCCCAGACTCTGAGGACCCATGGACATCGATATAGGGTATAAAGAGGAATAGCAATCACACCTGCAGATACTAGAACCCAGGTGTGTTGCACATGGCACCTGAGGGTGATTGTGGATACTAGTGGCACTAGTGAGAGGTGGTATAACCTTTATGAAGTGGGGCCTAGTAGGAAGAAGTGAGGATGTCAGGGTGGTGTCCTTAGAGAGAATACTGGGACATTGTCCTTTCCTCTCTTTACTTCCTGGTTACCATGAAGAGAGCAGCTTTCCCCACCTCATGTTCCTGCTATGATGCATTCTATTTCTGCCATGATGCACTGGACTGTTAGATGTCTAAAGCAACAGAGTCAGTAACCATCTGATGGAATCCATCAGCCAAAATTTTTTCCTCTTTGCATGCTGTTAATTTCATGTATTTGCTATATAATGACAGGAAACTGACACACTGTCCCTATCAGAGTACCCCAAAAAGGTGGATGACCACCTTGGAACATGATGTAGAGCCATCACACAATACTAAAGCCTACTTTGCTCACAATGACTTCACCCTGTGTCTACCAACATGGATTTGGTACTAACCAAGATTTCAGGCATCCTCTTGGGGCCCTGGAATGTGTTCCTTGGCTAGGAGGGAGACAACTGTTTAGCTCTTCTGACTTAGTGTGAGAGAAAGAAGCTGCGTGGATAGCATTTTTTCCACTGTCATTAAATGGCCTGGATTACATTTAACAGTGGTGTGCCAGCCACCCTTAGCTCAGATCAAAGTGTAGATGGATCCAGAGCCATTGTTTAGTGGAGTATAGTAATTTATTTGCTTGATTACAGAACTGCCTTCAAATAGCTTTATCTGAGCCATTTAGCTTAGACAATACAGTTGCATATTACAGATTATTTTAGATTAATACTATTGTAGATAATAAATTTGCTTTGTTCTTTAGAGAATCTGATGTTTGTAAGAGGAAAGCAGACCCAAGTGAGCACTGTTGGCAGTGCTGTGCTACATGCACACACAGCATCATCTTTGGCCTTTTTCTTTTCACAGGCTTTTTAGATCCTGAGAAGAAGCTTTTTTCTCATCGAATATTATCTAGAGATGAGTGTATTGACCCATATTCTAAAACGGGAAACCTTAGGTATGTATCTGGCCAAATTATTGCTGAGGCAGCTCACTATTCAGCTTACCTTTAAGAATTGAATTTTGAGAATCAGAGTGATAATTCTGTGTTGAACATTTTAACCCCTCTCCTCTGATTTTCAGTGGGATCTATAGTGTACGCAGAAAATTTGTCTTTGACCCAGACTCCCTCCTCCTCCTGCATGTGTCCTGAGTATTGCCCTGGGTGCTTGACCCTTGAAGTACCAATCCTCTCTGCCCTCCCCTGGACACACAGCCTTGAAACTGCTCTTTAGTGGTTCATTATTTCTGCCAGAAGTGGTGCAGTGATCATCTTTGCCCTGCACAGACCCAGTATCAGCCAATTCCTCTCTCCCCATCCATCTACTTGTCCCTGTCTCCAGCTGGCTTGGGAGATTAGGTCTTGAATTTCAGGCCTATTCAGACACCTGATTAGAACTCACTACTAAGAGGCCAGAAGTAGACGTGAATCCCTTCCAGGAGTCTAGCAGTAAAGCCTTTGCCTGTTTTTGAATACCCCTGGAGGGCCTTGGGGCTCACTTAGTAGGCAGAGTATCCTACAGAAAGGCTGATAGTAAGTAGCAGTATGGCCAGAGCAACTGCCCAAACTTCAGTTTTCACTCATACAGCTTTCAGAGTTGAAGGATGAGGAGACCAGACCAGTATCTCAGAGTTAGGATTTCTTAGGAATTTGCCTGGCATTCACCCTACTGATAATGTGTAAAATCCTAAGTTAAATGGCCAAATTGCTATATTTTGCCCGTTTCTACTTTCTCCTTTTTTAGCAGCTTTTTACGTGTTTCCTGCCATCCCTTAAACTTTTGAGATAGGGCTGGCTCCTCCCTACTCCTACTTGGAAAGCAGTTTGATTTCCTCTGAAATTTCTCATTCTATACAAGGAAGGAGTTCACCATTTCTACCCAGAAAGGGCTGTACCCACCATTCTTACGTATCATTTGTTTCCAGTGTGCTTCTCCATGCTCTAGCAGCTTTGGGTGGCAGGTGAAGGGGGTGTGGCTTGTACAGGTACACTCCTCTGAAATTTCATTTTTACATTAAGGGATCCACAGAGCCTTGAAGGCTGTGCAAGTTAATATTAACTAGAAGAGAATCTGAGGTGTTCACTTGAAACACAAACCTTGATAGCATTAGAGTGAACAGACTGATGAGGGCAAGAGAAAGCATGAGATGACATTGGTGCTTTATCAGACAGCAAAGCTGTCTTTAGACACAACTCCAGTAGAAACACTCTGGGTAGGCATAGCTGAAGGTCCACTCTACAGGTGTCAGGTGAGCAGTTGGGTCTGTACCCTGGGCCTTTGGACTGCCTAGATATGTTTGTGAATGAGTTTTACTAGAATGAGGCCTGACCTATTTGTTTACAAGAGCTGAATCTTCAGAGTTGAGTTCTTACCTGTGGTTGGTCAAGACTGAAGTATTTATCATCTGTCCCATTTTAAAGTGCATCGTTTAAAAAGAAGAATCTAACAATGGAAAAAAAGTGTATTTAATGTTACTTTCTCTAGAAGCCAAAGTATAAGTGTGAGCTAAATAAAAGCCCCATCAGAGTTTGCCTTTTTCTAATGAATCTGATTTCTGCTTATTACATACAGATGAGAGTCCTAAACTGTTCTGCTTAGCAGGCAAAATAAATGATTATTGCAATTGGGTATCAGTTATTTTATGTAATTGCACATTTTTGCTTGTAGAAATCTCTTTCCCTGTGGAGACTCAATGGTTTGCATTATCGATGACCGAGAAGATGTCTGGAAGTTCGCCCCTAACCTGATAACTGTGAAGAAGTATGTATACTTCCCGGGCGCAGGTGATGTGAACGCACCACCTGGGTCCCGGGAAGCTCAGACAAGAAAGAAAGGTGGGTGGCCTCCTTGTTGCTTTAAAAAGAAATAGCATTTTGCTTAACATTTATTTCTTATTTTTATCTTTATAATGACTTATAAATTTAAGATTCACTTTGTTATTTGCTTTCTACTTATAATTCAATTTTCCTGAGGTAGTTGGGTTTATGTAATGAAAACTGAGATATTAAAAAAATCATGCTAGAGGCTGGTGTTGTGATTGTATACTGTTTACTATCACACACATAGCCTTGGGTTCAGTCCTCAGACACGGAGTGGGAAGTATCCCACTATCATAAGCATTTTGTCAGTTGAGTAAGATTTGGACTCTGCATCCCTTGGAGGGAGGGAGGCCTAGGCCATATCTGCTTCTCTTGTAAGAAATTACCTCAAAACACAGGGATTCAGACTGTTGTCTCCATACAGATTTCAGGGAACTATGTCTTTGTTAGGCAAGTGTGAGCCAGAGTCTGTCTGAAGTAAGCTTAAATTTGGGGGTGGGGGTTTCTGCCTTAGGCTTCCAAGTTCTGGAATTATAGGTACACATCACCAAACCCAGTTTAAAATTTTTAATTTTAAGTGTTTTGATGAACTTTAGTGTGGTGGGGTTTTCTGTTTAGGTTTTTTTGGTGGTGATGGTGGTTTTTGAGACAGCCTCAACTATGTCTTGACTGACCTGGAAGTTGTTATATAGACTAGTGTGGCCTGAAACTCAGAGATCTGCCTGCCTCTGCCTCCCAAGTACTAGAATTAAAGGAACTTCAGTTATGAAACAAAATACTTTGAGGCATACAGTTACTCCTATAGTTCATAAAAATAGAACGTAGATGTCAAGGCAAGGAGATGGTACAGCTTGTAGGGCCTTCTCAAAGAAGGAGAGTGATGGGGACCATTGGCCTGGAAAGTCATACCCTCACATGCTGTAAAGAGAAAGGGTCCTTGCATGGCACACACCTGAGGTGTTTATTGTGTGGCTGTCAGAGCAGAAGATCCCTGAGACCTGGGCTAGAGGATAGATAGTTCAGATTGTCCAGGAGAGGGATGCTGTTTAATTTTAGAAATTAATTACCATTAAGTAATAATAACTTTGCTTTTGTGTATGTATTTAGTAAACCATTCTTCTAAAGGAACCGATGTCTTGGAACAAGTTCTGCCTATGAAGGAACCTGAGGAATGCAAACCTGTTCTTGGGGTGGAGCAAAGCAATGGTCTTGGGAAATCCTCCAGGGAACTCAATGGTGGCGAGGCTGTGCCAGGAGCTTTTCCCAGTAAAACAGATGAGAAGGATACCTGGCCTCCCACCCGGGCCCCCTGCACCAGCAGCCCCAGTGGCCATGAGGTAGCTGATGCCACAGAAACCCCAGTGTCTTGTGAATGGGTTGGTCGGACCACACCAGGGGTGCAGCCCACTCAGGGAGACTCGACCCAGGATTTGGATTTTGACTTGTCCAGTGACAGTGAAAATAGTGAGAGCAGCAAGTCAGACAGTCATAAGTCTTCTGCCTCTGATGGGGAAAGTGAAAAGAGAGGCCAGAAAAAGTCTCCAGCCATGCAGGACAAAACAAAAGTCTCACAGCACAGCAGTCCCCCTGACTTGAGTGGTGGGAGACCTGCAGCAGGCTCCTTGGGAGAGTCTGGGCCTAGCATCCACCCTCAGGACAAAGTACCAGACCTGGATACTCAGGAAGAGAGTGAGCAGGACAGCCTCTGTGGCCTGGGCAATGGCTGTGTGGACCGGAAGGAGGCTGAAACCGAATCACAGAACAGTGAACAGTCAGGTGTCACAGCAGGCGAATCCCTGGACCAGAGTATGGGGGAGGAGGAGGAAGAAGACACAGATGACGATGACCACCTGATACATCTCGAAGAGATCCTTATGCGAGTGCATACTGACTATTACACAAAGTACGACAGATACCTCAACAAGGAGCTTGAGGAAGCTCCAGATATACGGAAAATTGTGCCAGAGCTCAAGAGCAAGGTGCTGGCTGATGTAGCTGTGATATTCAGTGGACTGCACCCAACAAACTTTCCTGTGGAGAAGACCCGTGAGCACTATCATGCCACGGCCCTGGGGGCCAAGGTCCTTACCCACCTGGTGCTGAGCCCTGATGCCCCTGATAGGGCCACTCATCTCATTGCAGCGAGAGCTGGTATGTGCCCCTTCCTGTCCCATGTGGGTGAGGACACAACCAGCGCTGCTTTCAGCGTGGACATGTGCATCCTGGGTTTGGGCTTGGTCTCTCTTCCTGAGTCTAGTTTACCATTGCATGGGACATTTTCTTTAATCATGACCTTTTAAAATAGGTTGATGGGCTGTGAAAATAGATGAGTGGGTTAAGTGCTTGCCATACAAGCATTAGGACCTGAGTTTGGATCCCTAGAACCCATGTTAAAATCGGGCACAGTGGTGTGTGTCTGTGATTGTAATGTTCCAGAAGATGGTAGGCAGGACAAGAGAATCTCTGGAAGCTCTTTAGCCAGCTAGCCTGACATACACATAGCAAACAACAAAGAGACCCTGTCTCAAACAAGGTGGAAGGTGAGGACTGACATTGAACATTGTCCTCTGATCTCCACAGGTGCAGGTGGCACCCATGTACCCCAACTCAGATGCACATCCACACACACAGATGGTTGGTAATTAGCTTTGGGTGAAATTCTTTTTCTATGCAATTTCACCTCTGTGTCTTAGATTCCTGGAACAGTCACTTTCATACAATGTATGAAGTCAGCCTCTGGAAATAGCAAAGCTGGTAGGAATGGAGATTTGATAGTGTTGACACTGGAAGAATTAGGAAGCAAGAGGAGTCTCGGCCTCAGGTGTAGGCTAATTTTTAGTTTAAAAACCATGTACAAAATATTTCCACTGGAGCAAACAGAATAAATGAGAAAATGGAGGATAAATATCCTCTCTTTGCAAGAAAATCCCCCTTTAACACTGTGTGTCTGTTACTTCTGAGACTAAGAACCTTCCTGTAATGGGCCATTCTCTAAGGAAAGCTTAAAGAAAGCAAATATTAATTACTTTCTAAAATGGCCTTCATAAGCAGTTTGACTTTTCCTGAATAAAACTCACCTGAGGACAAGCTTGGGCCCTTGTCCCCTTGCTATTTCTCCTCAACCACAGTCAGTGAATTAGGGCTTCCTAATGCTTTACCTCCAGGTTCAACACAGCTGCTGAGGTGGCCCATCCCCATGGTCTCCATGAAGGCTGCAGTCTCCTTTGACTGGCTCCAGACCATGATATCACGTGCTCAGTAGAGCGTTTAGCTCAAATCAGTGGGAGACTCCCATCGCAGTGTGCAGTGCTGGGGTCAGAGGCAGGCAGTTTCTGGCCCCAGCCACGCCCCTGTGTCTGAGAGGGAACATAGCATCAGCTCCTCTCATGGGTGAGAAGAGGGTTCTTTCCAGAGCACTGAGAGTACGAGTTAGGTCCCTCCTTGGTTCACTTGATGTGTGCACCTGCTTGGATAAAGACTACCCAGTGCCTGATCCATACCTCTTCTTTTCCTGCTTCTGAAGCTTGCTTCTCTTTGGAAACTTCAGCCACAGGGACAAAAACTACTGCTTCTTGCTTTCCTGTTCATGGGTGCATGTGAAGTGTGAAGGACATGTCCTCATCTTACTTTCCCTTTGGGGAGAATGGCTCTACTAAAAACACAGCTAACCAGGCACTCACCTGTCCATCAAACAGCATGGGGTCACTGAAGTGTATGCAAGATAGCTATGAGACACCAGGATAGGCAAGGCACATAGTATGGAGAGTCACCCAGGGGGTGGGCGGTAGCTGTCTAGGGGGTTCTAGGGCCTCACAGGAGGGGCCAAAAGTGAAATGTGGTAGGGAATAGTACCACACCAGATGCCAGACTAGGATGCAGCAGATGGTGTCCCAGGTTGGGGTGGCCATGGGGTTGGAAGAGGATAGGATAAGTCAGGGAGAATAGAGGACTTTCTGACTGGCCTATTGCCAGTGGTGTCCAGTTAAGAGCCAAACTTGGATTGGAGGGTCTTAGGCTATCTGGGATATTAACTTGAGATATAGGAAGTAGTTCAGATACAGAAATCCTGCTGGCAGAGGTTCTGTCCCAAGTGGTGAGGAGGATGCATATTTGCAAGCCTGACAGCTCCATCTTGAGAATGCACAGTTCTCCTCTGGTATAGTAGGGAAGGCAGTCTGACATGTTGTCTCTGCAGGCACAGAGAAGGTACGCCAGGCACAGGAGTGCAGGCACCTGCATGTGGTCAGTCCTGACTGGCTGTGGAGTTGCCTGGAGCGCTGGGACAAGGTAGAGGAACAGCTCTTCCCACTCATAGATGATGACACCCGGGCACACAGGTAGGTGCCTCCTGCTCACGGACCCACATAGTCCTACTCCACACTGCCCCTCTTCAGGATTAACCCCATTCACTGAACTACTGGCCACATCAAGTTATGGGTGGACCCCTTGAGCACCCAAACATGGACCAGCAGCTTCTGCAGAAACAGTTCCTTTTCATATCCAGCCCTGGTTTGCATGTGGGAAATGGGATCTGGCTGGATACGATGTGGAGAACCTTGCTGCGGAAGGGTGTCCATTCAGGATCCATGTTGTATTAGTTATTTGTCTTAATGCTGTGATGAAATATCCTAACAAAAGCAAGTTAAGGGAGGAAGGAGTTTATTCTGGCTTATAGTTAGAGAGAAGTTCCCCATGGTAGGGAAGTTCTGGAGGTAGGAACTTGTGGCAGCTGGTCTATTGCATAGCAGTCAGGATGAGAGAATAGTGAATGTTGGTGCTCAGCCAGCTTTTTCCTTTTTGTGCAGTCCAGGAGTCAAGCCCAGGGGATGGTGCCACCTACTTTTAGGGTGAGTCTTCCCATCTTGATTAACCTAATCAAAATAATCCCTCTCAGGCATGGCCAGAGATTTGTCTCCTAGTTGATTATAGATTCTATCAAGTTGATAATAACTACTAATCACCACAAATGCCACCCAACTCCCAAGGCTGTAGTACTCCTGGGATGGGGTTTGTTCTGTCCCTGGTCTTTACCTCTGGGAAATGATCTTCCAACTTCTCTGTGGACTTAAAGATAGCAACCATTAGCACCCAAAGCAGTATCTTTCTTTAGTAACATTTAATGTGGTTTTTAGTAGTGAATCTTAGTTTGCATCTGTTTCTTCCACATTGATATTATTACACAAATCACATGAAGTTGTTATTCCAGATGTCAGAACCAAAGAAAGGGTGTAGGGATGAGGGCCACGGGCCAGGTATGCAAAATTTCTCAAAGAGACATAGGGGAGCATGCACCTTCCCATGTCCTGTGTATTTATGATGAGACGTGTGTAAGTGATCACTTGTGGGCAAGTGATCATGAGCACAGATGCCAGTTTCTGTTGAGAAGAGCTCTGATCTTGGTCAGCTCAAGTAGATGTTAGAGCAGCTAAGTACAAGAGTCAAGGTTGTCCGGCCAAGGCAGAAGGCTTCCTCCAGCTTGTCCTACTCTGCATGGCAGGTTTGGTGATGGTGGAGGTTGAGAAATCACATTGCTTTTTATACATTGTTGTGCTCTAGAATTCAGAATTGTTCATTTTCTGAAGTGCTTTGTCAAAAATTGAGGAAGCTTTTCATTCACATACCTAGCGGTTGTCCCTGGTGCATGTCGCCACATTCCTGTATCTCTGTCCTTGTCAAGCTTTCATGCTGTGTCCCTGTGCCAGGTGTTACTCCTAATGCCACTCATGACCCTTGTTCTCTCGTCCCATAGGGATAACAGCCCAGCAGCCTTTCCAGACAGACAGAATGTACCTCCAACAGCCTTGTTCCACCCAACACCCATCCACCCCAAGGCCCAGCCTGGCCCTGAGGTTCGGATCTATGACTCCCACACAGGCAAGCTCATCCGGATGGGCACCCAGGGTCCTGCACCAGCTCCCCCCAGTGCCCCACCGATCCACGGGGATCCCTCCTCCTTCAGGTACATTGTAGCACATGTGAACTTCCTTTGCTGAGAAAATAGTCATCTAAAGTGTAAAGTTTCTGTTGTCTGGGTCTATTATATGATTGTGTTGGGCTACAGTGTGGACAAGTGGCATTTGAAGCTCTGTTCAGTCCTAGATTTGTGTTGCTGCCTCGCTAAGGATAGGTGATTCCCATGCATAGAACATCTCCCTCACTTGTCCTGGGCTCTTCTGTTGATTCTACCTTGTCTCGGGTTCCAGAACCAAAAGCTGGAGAACCCTGATCTAGCTTCTGTATGAGCCCTGTGTCTCTACAGGGTGCTCAGTGCTGACAGGGTACTTGAAAACATTCTAGGGTACCCAGCAGAAGAAGGTCCCAAAGATACACTGATCTCCTTCCTGGGTCTGTCGTCTGCAGGCACTCAGCTTTGCTCACCTGAACTCTTCCATATGCTGGGAACAGACTCAGGATGGATATGATGGCATTTTGTCAGAGGGTATGGGAAGAATACTCAGTGGATTAGAAGTCATTTGATGGCAGGGTTGGTGATGCCCCACAAGTGACAGGCTCTTCTTATTCCCTCCTTTCTCCATCTAGACTTGAGTTTATCCATCCCATTAACACCCCACCCCCAGACCATTCATCTATGACTGAAGCACATCCTGCCTGTTTAAATAAGGAGCCTAGAGGTTTTGAGCAGTGGGTATCATGGTTAGATGCCATGGTCAGTATGCAGTTACTTTGTCCATTTTCCCATGCTCATCCAAAGGCACCCAGATCTTCCCTGAAAGTTGTCCCATGTGGTTAGCAGCCCAGAGCTGCAATGGTGTTAGTTCCATTGTTTGCAAGTGGGTCCTGGCAGGCCTGAGCATTTTGCATGTTTTTAGCATGTTTTAGGGCTGGATAGGAACTCAGTCCCATATCCACACCTGTGGCCTCAATAATGCTTAGGCAATAGGAGCTAAAGTTGGCACTAACAGAAAAGCTGTGCTTTTTAGGACTGGCTCTCCCTGCTTCCTTGGCCTACCTTGGGATATACCCACTGCTTTGTGATTTGTAACTAAAAGCGTCATTATTACTGAAACTTAATTTCTTCCAGCTAGTCATTCACGTGGTTAGAAGGTGTCCATATACTGCTGCTCATATTCTGTGCCATCACATTACCAGAGTGTGATGACTGACTTAAAGGCTGTGTATATTTTTAACTCTAGTACACGATGTCAGCTACTTTGCAAATGCATGTTGTAGTTTGCCCTGCCACCCAGAAGAGTAAGTAGGCCAATGTGCCCTGCCAAGGTGAGCTGCTGCATTGGGAAGATAATGGGAGGCAAGTGGCTTGTGGAGGTAGCCCGCCCATGGAGCTTGCTACTTGGATTCTACCTTAGCTAGTTGCCTCTTCATGTCCATTTTGCCTCTTTTTCTACTGATTTTTTTTTTTTTTTTTTTTTTTTTGTGTTCCCGTTTCTTTCCCTTTTTCCTCTTTTTTTTATGTTTTTTTTTTTTTTTTTTTTTTTTTTGAGGGCGTTGGTTCACCATCTTGCAAAAGCCAAGTTAAAAAGTACTAAAGATTGCCTGCATGCTTGTAGAAGAAATGCCTTGTTAGTACCAGGCTGCCATAGCTTTCCTTACCTGTGCACGCCTTCATTTTTTGAGCAGAACTACATACTTTCGTCTGTAGTTGATGTCTGTGGCTCTGAAATTCATACAGTCTGTCTGTGGCTCTGAAATTCATACAGTCTGTGAAATTAAGTTCATTAGATTTGCTATAAACTTTTCTTGAAATTTGTCACAATAAGTGCAATATGAGCCTTCTTTCAAATTCTATTGTGATAGTCAAATTCTTTGTATTCTTTAAAAAAGTATAACCTGATCCCAGAACACAGGGACAGTGGATATTTAAGGCACCTTCTGTCATAATCCCAGCCAAGTCTGGCTGCTATGCAAAGGCTGGCCAGAGCAGGTATGAGATTGCAGTTACACATAGGATCAGGAATAATTCCAGTTTGTGTTACAATAAGAGAAGTCTGAGTTTTGGCTCAGAGCACTGTGTATATATTTTACTGTCCTAAAGTATCTGAGAGGTGGAATGTTTACTTTTTTGCCAAGATGTCCTTTAAAATGGTGAGGCTGTCTTACTTTCTCAGAGGTCCTGGTTTGAAAATAAACAGAATGAGTGTGCAAGGATACATCTGGTGAGATGCTTTACACCTGTCATGCAAATTCTTCCTCCAGCACTGTTGGGCAGAGAAGCCGGCCACCTTGATATTGCAGTTAGCTTGAAAACAGTCACCTCAGGGAGCAGGGGAGATGGCTCATACAGTAATGTGCATGCTGTGTCAGCATGAGATGTTCAGATCCCCAGCACCCACATAAATGCTGCACACAGTGATGTGTATCTGCAGTCTTAGTACTGGGGATGTAGAGACAGGCAGATCTCTGAAGTTCATTGACCAGTCAGGCTAGCTTGAGTCAGTGAGCTCCAGATTCAATGTGAGACTGTCTCAAAAAATAAGATGGCGAGGAATTGAGGAAGATACCTAAGGTCAATCTCTAGCCTGTGCACATACACATACCAACATGTACATACATTGCTATATCCTCCCCGCCACACATCCACACACATATAGAAGAAAACTATTGCCTCAGATGGGCAGCAATGGTAGGAATTCTGTTTGCCACTCACATCTGACATCCTAGCTACTTTCTATTTCTGTAACACATGACAGTGTGCATACCTGCAGAGATGCAGAGGCTATAATGCACTCACAACAGATAGCATCTACGTGAGGTGGACGGTTGGGCCTTGGAGGGCAGAATGGAGCCAGCAGATTTTAAAGAATCTTCTGGCAAAGCTCCATAGCAGAGACAATGTGCTAGAACAGAAAAAGTAAAACCACTTGGTACCAGCTCAGAACCAGGTGAGGCAGCAAGGAACATGGTCTGTGCATGTCTTCCATGTGGATCACAGACACACACAGTTGGAAGTCAGAGCAGGTGTGGTCTCAGGACTGGGCTAGATGCCTGGAGTCCAGGTTCCAGCTCTAGGTGGTTGTGCATAAATAAGTAGGTGTTCTCAAGAGGAGACCCTGTGCTTATAGGAGTTGGAGTGTAGCGGTAAGATGAACACTGGTGTCCACATATCACTCGATATGTGTAAAGGCAGTGATCATTCCAGTACTTCCCAATCATTCAAGGTTAAAGTGTGCTGTGTTTTCCTCAGGACACCTAGGTGAATTCAACATTTGGGTGAACTCTGACATCGTTTACTAAGAATACGTGCCCTTTGACCCAGGTCTTGCTTTAGGAGTTATGTCCTAGAAGTAAGAAGCAGTATTCTGAGCTTGTTGGGGAGGTCAAAATTTGGAGCTCCAGTGTGATAGAGCCATTTTTGCTTTCCTGCTAAAAATAGCCACACAAGAAGCAGTTACAGTGTTGGGAGTGGCCCCCATGGTCAGCCAGGTTATGACTTGAATCTACCCTGGCCTTCCCTGGGAATAGTATACTTTGTGCCTAGAAGCTATACCCTTCTGATCTCAGGAGACAGTGAGGAGTTGAAGCTACCACAGCAGCCAGGATTTGAGAAATAAAACCAAGAGAGGAAGGGACTAAGAAGGAGCCTGGTGACTACAGACTCCCTTGTTCTAGATCTTTGAGTATTTCTAGACTGGGACAGCCTCTGCCAACAATAGATGTGGAAAGAGTGTGCATTCACCAGCCCAATGAGGCAAATGGGTGTGGAGAAAGGGTGACAAGATAGAGAAGTCAAGGCAGAATTCAGGGAAGGTGTGGGCCTGTCATGGAGGGTGTAGGAGAGCCTCAGTCTCTGGACTTGGAGCACACCCACTAAAAACTCTGAACCCACTGTTTTAGGGTTTTATGGAGGTTGAATCACTGGTCCTAGATGATTAGCTCTCTGAAAGGCAAAGGTTGGGATTGGGTTAGAAGTTCCAGGCCTTGGTCTTTCTGGGGACCAGCCCCGTCCTGAAGCCATCTCTCACCTCATTGGACATTCCAAGGTTTTGACACATCTGTCAGAACACCACAAGACTTCCCCTTTGAGCACAATGTGTCGATGGACAAGAGGTTCACTTTTCTGTTGTTGGCTGTGTTCCAGTATATTATAACCTGATAAGGGGCAGGTAGGAGCTGTGCATTGAAGGCTATTTCTGAAATTCAGTTTCTAAATTGCAGTTGGACAGCAGTGCTTCCAGAATTTAAAGCAGCCTCAAAGTCAGTATGTGCTGGTGTGCACCTGCACAACACCTGTGCAGTCTGCTTTCCACGCTGCGGAAACCAACTCAGCTTCTCATTTATTTTTCCTTAAATAAAAAGCAAAGGCACCTTGTCTTAAGGTGAGTACAGTGTTAGGTACAATATGTTTTTTAATTATTCAGCTTTGTTTGAAGTGTGTGTCAGTAGACTAGGAATTTCCAAGATAAGTGAGAAGTAATGTCTGAAATTAATTTGCATATGGTAGACTGAGCCAGAATAAAGCTCTTTTTCCTTGGATAGCTGGTGATGTGGCAGCAGAACCCAGTGTTCTGAAAAATGGAGCTGTATCCTCAGCCTCAGGCAGCTGTGACTCAGAGCCAGCCCTGGCTTTGGTGCATAGCAGGAAGGTGACTTTGGTGATGTTTTCTTCTTTTGAATTTGGAAGTGTACTGTGAACACTGATGGCAAGCTATCTTGGTACACAAGAATATACTTTGGAGGCTTCCAGATAACCAGTATTACTAAGTAACCAAATCAGTACTCTCCTCACTTGAATTCATCAGAAGCTGTAAGCACTCCTAAAACCAACAAGTATCAGAAGTACTTATTGATGATTGTTTTCAAAATTATGAAATGACCAACTTACATAAGGAAAAATAGCATCCCCGTGTCTTACTCCTCCCTGCCAATATATCTACATGCAGCACTGGATGTCTCAAGAGCCAAGAGCATCCAGTTGCCAGAGGAGTACTCTCCTTGTGGATGTTTGTTCATAGCAAGGATTGTAGCTGAGGGACTTGTTTA